TAAAACATTTACTAGCTGGTTACTTGTTGTTCTGATTCATCTGTTAATTTGGTATTTTCATCTTTGGTTCTTTCAGAGGATCTACACCTGGTCTCCCTAGACTCTCCTCCTGTCTCTCGTGTTCTCATTAACTGGTGTCATTTTCTCCCTGAAGTTCACTACTTAAAATCTCCTCTCAGAACTGTGGAGTAGAGGAAGGGGATTGAAGGGAAAAGGAAAGGAGAGGAAACACAGAATGAAATTGACCAAATTATGTTATGTGCACGTATGCATATATCACAGTGGATTCCACCATTATCCACAACGTTCATGCTGCTATTTAAAATAAATAAATAAATAAGAAAGACCAACCAGTAGAATAGAGGAAAGAGATCAGGGGAAGGGAGAAGAATAGGGAAAGTGGAAATACTTGGAATTAAAATGGAGCAAATAATGTTATATATTTACGAATATGTCAAAACGTAATCCAAGGGCTGGGGATGTGACTCAGTGGTGGAGCGCTTGCCTAGCATGCACAATCCCTAGCACTGAAAAGAAAAAGAATGCCAATATCATGTATAACTATTATGTACTAAAAAGACATTTTAAAAATATCCTCTTGTGTGTTTATGGTCTTGATGATGGTGATGATTTAACTAGCGTATACTTATCACCAAACTCATTAAGACTTATATACTTGATATGCATAGCTTTTTATATGCCGATATGCCATAATAAAGTGGTTTTAAAAGTATCTCACCAAAAGCAGACCCCAAGATTTTTCTGTTTCAAAACTTCTGCCTCTTCAAAGGAACAGTTCCTAAAGGTTCCTGATTATTGTGTACACTTTTCTTTTGGAAAATGGCTTGCTTGATTAGAATGTAGAGTAAAATTGGATTCTATCAGGAGATGAATTGGAAAGTTAAAAAGAAAGTAATTTATAAAGGATTTTGAAAAGCAAGTGGAGATTTTTGTTTTCAATAAAAATTATAGTTTTATGTGATTGATGGGTTGTCATACATATTGAGTTGATGACCAGAGTTAAGACATGGCCAAATCAGGCGCAGTGGCCCATGCTGTAATTTCAATGGCTCGAGAGGCTGAAGCAGGAGGATCACAAGTTCAAAGCTTAAGCTCAACAATTTAGTAAGCCCCTGACTCAAAATAAAAAATAAAAAGGACTAGGGATGTAGCTCAGTGGTAAAGCACTCCTGGGTTCAATCCCCAGTACAACAAACAAACAAACAAACAAAAAGTTGTCTGTACACGCTCAGGTTGTTTCTGGGCTCTCTATTCCATTCCATTGGCCTGTGTCTGTCTTTATGCCAACACTGTGTTACTTTGGTTACTCTACCTTTGTGCGGACATGCTTAGAAAACAGGAAGTGTGACGTCTCCTGCTTTGTTCTTTCTCATGATTACTGTGGATATTTAAGGTTTGGGGCGGGAGGGTGGGGGGTCTACTAGATTTGTTTCCTCTATCACTGAAAATGGCACAGAAATTTTGATAGGGATTGCATTGAATCTGCATATTGCATTGGATATGAACACAGGACATTTTCCTGCACAATTATATGATCTTCAGTTACTTTTTTCTATGTCTTATCATTTTCAGCGTATAGATCTTTCCACCTCCTTGGTTAAATTTATTCCTAAGTATTTTGTTATTTTTTTAATGCTATGATAAATGCGATTGTTTTCTGTATTTCATTTTCAGATTGATCATTAGTGGTGAGAAGAAATGTATCTGGTTTTCATGTGGTGACTTTGTAGCCTACAACTTCATTGCTTTATTCTGTTTTTAATAGTCTTCAGGGTTTTCTACATATAGAATGATGCCATTTGCAAAGAATATTTTACCTCCTTCCTTTTGATTGGATGTCTTTTATTTATTTATTTATTTATTTTTTTTGATTGGAAGTCTTTTATTCCTTTTCCTGATTGCTCTTGCTAATACTTCCCAATCTCCACTGAATGCAAGTGGTGAGATAGATGTCCTTGACTTATACTGGATCTCAGAGGCAAAGCACATCATTTTTCCCCATTAATGATGATGTCAGTTGTGAACTTTTCACAAATAGTATTTAGTCTGTTGAGATTTCCTTCTATACTTATTTTTTGAGCAATTTATAATAAATGAATGTTAAACTTTGCCCCATCCGTTTTAATCTATAGAAATATATTGAAACTATCCTTGATTTTTATCATTCACTCTGTATATGAATTGCATATGTGAAACTGATTAATTTGCATATGTGAAACCAGCATTGCATACCGGTGATAATCCCATTTGGTGATGTATAATCTTTTCTTATATTCACTTTGCTAATATTGTAGTGAGGATTTTTTGCATTCATCAGAGATATTGGCCTACAGTTTTTATTTGTTATTTTTGTCTAGCTTTGGTATCCGGTTGGTTGTGGTCTCCTAAAAAATCAGGTTTCAAGTGTCTCTGATAGTTTAATTTTGGAGAGGTTTAAGAAAGATTGGTACTAATTCTTTGAAAGTTTGGTAAAAGTGTTTATAACAATCTCTTGTGATTGTTTTTTAAAGCATGTGTTGTAATATCTCCTCTTTATGTTTCCCTTTATATGAGTCTAAATTCCCTTTTTCTTAATCTAGCTATGGATTTGTCAATGTTTTTTATTTTTGAAAATCAATTCTTGGTCTTGTTGATTTCTTTTCTATAATTTTTTCTATTCTTTATATGATTTATTTCTGCCTGATCTTTAATACTTCCTCTCTCTGTTAATTCGGGGCTTAGTTTTTTCTTTTTCTGGTTCCTTGAGGCATAAAGCTCAATCTTCCATTGAGATTTTTCTTTTTTCTTCATTCAGATGTTTATCATGATAAACTTCCCCTTAGTACGGCTTCCTTCTGGCACATCCCATAAATTTTGATACATTGCATTTTCATTTTAGTCTTAAGATACTTTTTGAAAAGTTGTGTCTTCGTTTTCATTAGCCTCCATATTTTTTAAAATTCTCTTCTTGTTTTTTTCTGTCTTTGACTTGTGTTCAAGAGCTTGTTATTTAACTTCCACATATTTTTGAATTTTCACATTTTCTGGCTGGTGTTGATTTCTAGTTGTATTTTTATTGTTGTCAGAAAAGATACTTGGTCTTCTTAAGTTTGATAACACTTGTTTGGGGTCCCAGCGTGAGGTCCGGGGAAATGTTCTGTGCATACTGGAGAATGTGCATTTTTCTGCTTTCATGTTCTGTACCTGTCTAGGAAGTCCATCGGGCCTATGATGTTGTTCATATCCCTCTTTTTTAATATTGATTTTATGTCTAGATGTTCTATCCGTTATGGATAGTGGGGTATTAAAGTCTTTCCTTATTGGTGCAAGGTCGCCAATTTTTCTTTCCCAATCTGTCAATATCGGTTTCATATACTAGGTGCACTGATGTTGGGTGCTTATGTTGCTCTGTTGATTTGGCCCTTTTGTCATTATGTAATGACCTTCTTTGTCTCTACCGACAGTTTTTCACTCAAGTTCACTTTGTCTGATGTAAGTGTAACCATCCCTGCTTTCTTTGGGTTTTCATTTGCATGAAATAGCTATTTTTATTCTTCACTTTCAGAATGTTTGCCTTTGGATCTAAAATGAGTTTCTTGTAGTTGGCCAGGGCTGGATCTTTTTTGGGCCCTCTGTATTATTTTATTGGGGACTTTAGTCATTAAAATTGAAATTAATTATTAATAGGGAAAGGTGTACTACTGCCATTTGTTAGCTGCTTTTGAATTTCTTAGAGTCCTTCTGTCCCTCTTTCTTTCTCTTGCTGCCTTCCTTTCTGTTTCATTGTGGGGTTTTTTTTTTTTTTGTAGATTATTTTCCATTTGTTTCTTTTGCTCTTTTGAATAATTTCTATTGGTATGTGGTTAATTAGGGATTTACATAAACAGTATGATTTAAGCCAATCATAACTTAACCTAACCAAATACAATTTTGTTAGGTTAAGTTATGATTGGCTTAAATACAAAATACAATCACCCCAACAAAATACAATTAGCTATCTACAAATACAAGTAGCCCTGGGAGGGCTCAAGATGCCAATTAGGAACCTACTACAACACAATGGATCTAGACAAAGAGAACAGGCAAAAAATACAGTATGGGAAAGATTGGGAGCTCAGCTAACTAGAGACATCTGTAAATGACTAGAATCAAAGAAGCAGGCTATCTGTATGGGCCATGAGGCATGCCACCAGAGTACCCCATGGCCTCCTCTCTAGAAGACCCACTTAGCATTTGCCACCAAGAAACATAATAGCCTTGTGACAGCCGCAGATTCACTGCACATTTCAAGGTCACTGGAGGACCTTATGGTGTGAATTGGCACCAACTCCAGTGTCCTGCTCCATAGAGGACACCTGCAGCCTTCACCACTGAGGCAAAGAACAGCCATTGGCAGCACTGACCACCTAGGGATGGAGACACTACTCACCCCATGCCAAAGGAGGTGCTGTTGCACAGGGAGGGAAGAAGGTGACCACCTTCCCTTCAACCCTGCACAAGCCTTGCACCCATGCCTTGGACACATACCTTGGCTATTCTGTGTTCACCCACGATCCCCAGCTCCAGTGCCATTCTATGTATACCTTCACCCCAACCCCTGGCTCTGTCACTGCTTTGTGTACACCTCTCTCCAGATCAAGGCGTGGATGCTCCACAGGCACATGCACATCAGATGCCAGTATCACCACCAATGGGCAAAGGTTAAACTCTCATAGCAAAGTACTACAGGGTAAATTCCAGAGTGATCAATAAGTCCCATGTAAAACTGCAAAGATTAAGCAGCAAAGACAAAATGAATGAATATGTTCATGATTTCAGGATAACATTTCAGAATTTATTTATTATAAAAATGGAATACCACAAGCCAAAAATTTGAATACATAATTCCATATGATACATGTATATGAATAAGTCTATAAAATCATTAATGGATTCTCAAAATATACTCTACAAATATTACAGGAATTGTTGACATACGATACAAAGACTTAAAGGTCAGTCCTAAAATTTTAAAATGCCTTAGAAAAATACACCAAAAATTACAATGGCTAGAAAATACATGAGAAGATCAGTTTAATTAATAAATAAATGCAAATGAGACAAAGAATTGTCATTGTAAAACCTTCAAATTGATGAAAGGGAGAGAGAGAGAGAATAGGAAGAAGGGAGGGAGAAAGGAGGAAGCAAGGAGAAAATAAAGAAAAAGAATGAGAAATGTATTTCTCATTCAAACGAGAAGGAGTGAAAATGTTGTTTTCTAACTGTGAATTTTGGAAACATTACAGTAAACATTCCCAAGGGTCACTCAACAGAGGAGAGGAAAAGAGATTATGAAATGGAAACTTGAAAAATCATTAGGGTTCTTAGATGACTTTCAGTTATCCTCCAAATATTAGTTAAATTGCCTATTATGGCAAAGTTCTATATACGGTTCTGGGGAATATAACAAACAAAAAGAAAACCCAGTAAAGTTATTTGATATCATCTTAATGAATTCATTAGTTGAATAAATATGTACTCAGTGTCAATAGCTAAGTACTAGGAATGAATTAGTGCACAAACACACAAATACCTGCCCATTGAGAGCTTCCTCTAAGTGGTGAAATCTTTCCTTCAGGAACTTGCTCCATCTTTGGGAGCAACAAAGAGAAGAGGGAGCAGGAGGAAGTAGTAAATATTTAAGTCATCTAATACTTCATTGTACGGTTTCCTGCCATTTGCACGAGACCAGAAGCCCATTTCCTACTGCAATAAATGCCTTCTCACTACTTTGTTCAGAGCATCTTTCAGCTCCTTGTTTCTCATGCTGTAAATCAAAGGATTCAAGACAGGGGTGACAAAGGTGTAGACAACAGACACCACCCGGCCCATTTCTGGGTTGTAGCTGGAGCTGGGGCGTAAATAGATGAGGCTGCAGCAACCATATTGCAGAAGAACCACAGTCAGGTGAGAAGAGCAAGTGGAGAAGGCCTTGTTCCGTCCCTCGGCAGAGCGGATCTTCAAAATGGCAGCAATGATGAAGACGTAAGAGACGGAGATCAGAGAAAAGGGGATGGTGAGGATGATGACGCTGACGATGAAGATCATGGCTTCCTGCATCCGAGTGTCCCCGCATGCCAACCTCAGGATGGGCAGCACATCGCAGTAGAAGTGGGTGATCCTGTTGTGGCCACAGAACGGCAGATGGAAGATCAGAACTGTCAGTTGTAAAGCTAGAATGAAACCAAGGACCAGAGCTCCCAAAGCCAACTGGGCACACAGCGGCCGTCTCATGATGAGGGTGTAACGCAAGGGCTCCCGGATTGCTACAAACCGATCGTAAGCCATGATCCCCAAGAGGATACAGTCAGCACTACCCAGGAAAACAAAGAAGAACATCTGCGTGCCACAACCAGCGAAGGAGATGGGAATCCTCCCCATGGTCACAAGGTTGACCAAAGCCAGAGGGGCCACTGTGGAAGAGTAAAAGATCTCCAGCACTGCCAGGTTGGCCAGAAAGAAGTACATGGGAATGTGGAGCGAGCGCTCAGCCCAGACAGTGAGAGAGATTGTGGCATTACCAAGGAGACTGCCAATGTACAACAGCAGGAACAGCACAAAAATAAACATCTGGACCTCCAGGATGGGCGAAAAGGGGTGGAAATGGAACTGGATCTCTCTAGTTTGGTTTTCATGCCCCATAAAAGTGGTCCATTGTATTTTCCAGGACAAGAGAAGACAAGTGTTTTTAGGAAAGAAAGTGACGGATCTTTAGGATGAAACCGAGGATACTGTTTCCCCTCCTGTGGTTCCAATAATTCTGAACATGAGCTTACTCAAGCTCTGCAGGCCACTTTCTTCTTACTGGTGTTTGTCATTTCACATTTTCAAGACATTTGGCTGAAGTTAGATATAAAAGTTGTCACCGTGAAAAGGAACCATGGTAATCTGTTACATGTGGTATCCAAGCTCAGGACATGGTTGTTTTGCAAAAAAAAAAAAAAAA